AAATATGAATAAAACATAACCCGTGCATAGCAGTAGAGAACAACTTTTTATCACGAACATAAAACAATACTGCACTATTCCATAAGGCACGCACTAAAAATAACTAACCAGTTTAAAGAGTAACTTTTTTAGTGGGATGCAGATCAGAGAGCATTTTATGTACCAGAAAAAAATGCCATTTTGCTGTATACATTTGTATTACTAGCTAATCCAACATGAGAGTTGCACTTAGCTTCCTAAGCAACTTCTGCTACAGATGCTCTGCATGATGTATTTCTGAGAAATTACTCACCTGCTCAAAATTAGGCATCTTTCTGTGGAAGCTGTGCCAAAATACAGTCCCTTTGCAAGAACCACTTTCCACTAATACAGTTCTGCTAATCTCGAGCAGGGCTCTCTCCTTCTGAGACTATCCCTCAGTAACAAGGGCTGAGTTACTTTTAAAACTCCATTTAGGGCATCCTTACAGCTCTATACCCACTGCTAGGGAACATGCATGCACCACTAATGGTAGCAGTTCCCTGTCAGTCACAAGTTAAGAGCCAACTGCCTGCAAAGCTGAGCTATGCTTCATGGAACTGTGTGGTCACTCTCATGAGGGCAAACAGCCACTTACAGCACAAGTCTTGTCCTGCACCACCTGGTCTTCAGCATGAAGATGGATGACTTCCTTCTCATAATTTATTCTTTTCCAACCACTTTCTAAAATGGACAGGTATGTCAAAGAATTAGCCCCCCAAAATGGATACCAGTCAGAAGATGGGCTCACTCTTCAGCTGCTCTTTAATAGCAAAGCCCACAGTAGCAGCTCATAGGGCAGTTACAACTTGCATTATATTCTGCATTATATATGAACACCAACTCCACATCATGTTAAGTGCCCATACTCAGTGGAAAAGAACAACCAGACTGATCACCTGCATAAGATCCAGAGGTGCTGACAGAAAGCTTGTGCACCTGCTGCAGAGTGGTTTTTTTTTTCCTGTGGGACAAAAGCAGTGTTTAGTTTTTGAATCTCTTTCAATGTGAGAACACACTCCTCTCCTCTACACTGTACCCAACTTACAGAAACTATAAGTGGACACAGCCAAGTACATACAGCAGGAAGATGTTCCTTCCTCTGCCAGAAGGAATATCTCCTTTTCTAGGGGAAATACAAGGACTTACTCTGCTACTTCCAGGCAGCTTCAGAAATGATGGTAACATACTGGTGAGAAAGAGCTCACCACTTGCATAAATTCTCATATTGTAATACAAGTTAATACCACAATCAACGCTGATAGCTGCCAAAAGCAATTCTAATATGCTAACAAAGAACAAAAATGCTTGCCAAGCCTGCAAGTGTGGGAAGCAAAATAGCTGGCTTGGCAGAGCACGTGAAGGCTTTAACCACCCTAATTGCTTTAGACCCTCAGGAACAGGTAGCAGCTGGCTGATAGTTGTCTTCTAGTGTGACTTTTCAGTGAAAATAAGTCATCAAAAACTAACACAGCAATTAAAGTATCTCAGTAAGAAAAATGCCCAGAAACAGCCTTATCTCTGAATGAAGCCACTGACCTACCACTAGCAAGCATGGGTCAATAAAGTCAGCATCTGTGCAAAGCATCTGAATAAAGATTTAAAACCCATTGCACAGCTGCTATACAAAGCCTGGTAACAATTGCAAGTCTTTTCACCTTCAAATCACTTCACAGCTTCAGAAAACTCACAGACTCAACAGAACATCAGGTTACCCCTGCAGATCAGACCCTTTTATTTCACCTTTAGTTTTGGACTGAAATCATTCAGCATTCACTGACAAGCACATTCCAGCAAGGCAGCCAAGTTAGACTTCAGGAAAGGAAAACAGTGAAAACATATCCTTTTCCCTTGATAGTTCCAGAGTTTCATCACTGCTCTTATGAGCTGCCACCATATCTTCTAATTGCAGTTCCATTTTTTCAGTTTCAAGTCATTTGTTATTGCATCTCTTGCCCTTATTTAAAAACAGCCTTTCCACAGAACAAAGTATATCATAAAGCAGCCACTCCAGGGACTTCTTTTGAAAAAGAACTCAAAAGCATATGTTACTCAGGTCCTCCCTAAAAGACATTTTCTATTTTTAAAAATCCACTTGACAATGTTTTGTTGCTTTGCCCCAGTACTTTAATAACCCATTTAAAATGTATAGCAATACATCAGGCTTATTTTCTCAATGGCTTTCCAGTATCAATACACAAGTCAAAAAGTAATGACATACTTATGGACCTATATCTAACATTACATGCACGCACCCATTTTAAGGTCTGTCTTACATTAATGACTCCCTGCCACCCAGATTGCCTTACCTTACCAGCCTGTCCTCACCATAACATCCAATTTATTCTGTTTACTTGCAGACTATAAATAGAAACACTGAGTTGTGGCTGTTTCTAACAGCAGATAATGATTCCTTAATCAATAGCTAGAATGAGATCACTTGAGTCTCATCCTTTCAGTTCTGAACCATTAACACCTGCAAATCACAACCTCCTGTGGAGTACCTCCCCTTCCAAATGCATTACATCTGCAATTATTTTTTCCAATCATACTGCTTCTACTCAAGAAACAACACATGGTTTGTTTGCCAGCGTCTTTTTTCCTTTAAGTCATATTGACTTACACTAACATATTCCCATCCTGTAATTCATTACTGAATGAATCTTCTTTGATTTCTCATCTGTCTTCTCTGGGACTACTGACAGGCCAGCAAGCCCATCAATGAGCTATAAACTCAAATGAGTTCTTGGTCCAGTGATCAATTTCCCTCTGTTTGTTTTTCTGCACATGCCACAAAGAAGAGAAACAGTATTCTCCATCCAAAGGCAAATTTCAGCTAAAAAACATACCTGCAATGCTCAAATTAAACACAAACTAGATAAGGGACTTAAAGAGCAGAAGCTATAGCATCATTTGCTTAGATCAGCACAAGCACTTCTGATCCCGCCCCGGGTGCTCAGTTACCCCTACAGCACAACTGTACTTGCCAGGACACACCTGCTACTTGTTATACCAGCCCTACAAGCTGGGTACATGTCCTGAATTTGCTCCTTAGCAAAAACCCATAGGTCAAAGCCATTACTCAGCAGCCTGTAGAGGAAGATACAAAGATGGGCCTAGATTTTCACTTCCATCTTTTATCACTGCTTTAAACAAAAGGATACGCTTAACACTCAGCCATAGATTCAGTTTTATACTTAGCATCTGTTTTTTAAGTTAGTATAAAAGCCTTCAACAAAAGATTATGTTTCACCAGTTATTTATTCTATATCCGTACCCTTTTATGGTCATTCATTATCTGTACAACATAAGACCTCTGAACCACAAGATTTTGAAGATTATACACAAGATTTTGAATTCTGTTTCAGCACCTGGCCTCCTACTACAATACATTATTGAATGCTACTCTTATTTTCCCCTGCACTTGCCTTTATTTAAATCTTAAAACTTTATCACACCATATCTATGTTTAACATATCTAACAAGGTTGTGAAAGGAATAACGTAATGCATGGGAACAGAGAAGAAGTACCACCTTTTTATTTTTGTTCCACAATTTTTCTAAATCTCATTTTAAATCTCTGTGATTATTCAGCATATATGTTGAGTTTGCAAGAGACCCAGCAACTCATCGGGGAAGCAACATGCTATGGTAAGATGTCTTTTACTTTCAAAAGTCAAATGGCAGAAGAACAAGAACTGAAGACTTGAAGAACATTAAAGTGACTAGATGTTTTACAGAGATTATGATACTTTGAAAGAAAAAATACCTTCAAGTGCTCTTCTATTCTTTACTACTTTTATCCACTGCTGTAAAACAGAAGTAAATAACCACAATCCTCTTTCCAGATAAGAAGTTTACTAATTCACAGAACAACAACAAAAAAAAAACCAGTCACATTGCTGCAGGAGGTGCTAGAGGCTAAAGGGAAAAAACACAACAAAATGTCATACCCAGCAGTGACAAGGTCTAGAGTAGGAACTACAGAGCGATGACTCCACATTGTTCAGAGCAGAGGATTATAAATGACAGTGGGTCACTAACATATGATGTAGTTACAGAATAACATACTTTCAGTATAGCTTTATAGCTGCCTTTATACAGAGTCCAGCTGCAAAGAGTATGCTGGGAAATGCATTCTTCATGCTGACTAGCTTTTTCAAACTTAAAAGGGAAGTTACTGCAAATAATTAGACTGTGCTTTTATGGAGCTCAGGTGCACAGCTGCAATAACTGATTAAAAAGCAGAAGTCACAGCAGCATGGCAATGATTGGTATCTAGAAATGATAACATATTCAGATATCATTTCTTGAGTTCTCTTGCAAAGAAATACAGAAGTGTGTTTACACCCTCAAACGTATAGAGGTTGAAGTGATGAGTCAGGCACTTGAAAGCTAGCTGTAAGATATCCAGACCAAACCTCTTCTTCAGTCACTCACCAGAAACTTTCTACTCACTCTGGGCAGTAAAATACTTGATCAATTACTTGGCTAGTAGTAGGGAAACAAACAAAAAAGAAGAAATACTTCTCATTTAATGCACGATAAGTAATACTAACAACTTATTTCTTCCTAGGAAAATGGAAGCTGGAATTACCATAGGAGTAACCACAAGAGCAGGAATTTAATTTTTCCCTTTATAAGAAAGTAAGGCTGCATACAGATTTTGAACTAATTAAACCAAAAAGATACTGCAACACTATAACGTAATGGAAAGTACAACAATAATAGCAGGGGAGCAAAGCCCTTGATTGCAACAAACGAGGACAAGCCCAAACACAGCAACCACAGATACAGAAATGAAGGAAAAAAAGCTACTTACCTTTGGAAGGCCTCAGGTAGGCAATAATCTCCAGCAAAACACCCTTACCTCCAATGCCAACCCTTAAATGAGGTCTGGGAAGGGGTGGATCCTGGCTCCATCCCTTCTGGTCACTCAGATATATTGTATACACCTGAGCTCCCCTGGGTTGACCCTGCCTTCCTACCAGGTGCTCAATCACTGCTTCAGGACATGACTCAGTATTTCTGCTACAGATGCAAACACTGAATACGTAAAATAATAATAATTTATCTAAAATAAGGCTTTATAGGCTGTGTTACAAGATTTGAAGAGGTAAGTAGTAATTTTGCTATGTTTCAATATCTGATAAGCGTTGAAAAAAGCAGTAGCTTTTTCAAATAGCAAAGTACTGTTAAGGTTGGTGTAATGTACTTTTTTTTATCAAACAGCTGATAAAAATGGAGGCTTTTGTTCTAAATTGTACTAATTTTGTTACTAATAATGACTTAATCTAGGTTAATACTTGGTAGGATATGAGAGGGAGGTGTATAAGTATATGCTAATAAATCAGGAACTTTTATAACACGTAAAAATAATGTTTTATTTATTTTAGATTGTGCTTTTATGAAGCTCAGGTGTACAGCTGTACTAACTGATTAAAAAACAAAAGTCACAGCAGCATGGTAATTTATCCATGTTTCTGTTAGTTTTTATTTGTTGGATGCTTCAGAATTCTTGAAGAGAAACTAAATAAAATAATGGCTAGTAGTGAAATTGTAAGCTGTCTGAATATGCTTACTTTTTCATCTGAAAAGGATATTTTCTGCAAGCGTAACAGAAATAGTAATAAGTTTTTCAGGCTATAGAGGTTTTACTAGGAGAGCAACATAGAGAAGGCTAGTACTGGCTTAGTTACCTAGGTCATTTTCTATAGTCTATTCCTCAAGAAAAGCTGCATTCTGGAAGCATTTTGAGAAATAGTTACAGTTTCAAGTCCATGCTGATATAATTATATGGATGTTGAATGGTTATTAAGAATCATTTAATTCAGACCATATTCTAATCTAGCCTCTTTAATCCAATAAGTTTGGTTTTGTTTTCTTAAGAAGCACTTTATGCAGTGAAGATTTGAGTCTAAATTACTGAGAGGAATAATTACATAAAGAAAACATCTTGTGCTAGAAGAGGTCTCTAAGCTTTCAAAAAACATACAAAGAAAGTGATTTGCACAAATCTTGTCTTCCTCATGTAGGAAGATGTATTTTGTATCATTTTGAGGAGTCTTTTTAGAAGTTTTTTCTACCAGATCTGCGTACTAAGCTTTAGCTGGAGAACAACTTAAAACCAGCAAGACTATTAGGAGCTCCAAGTACAGTCACATACCGCACTTGGAAAGCATGTTATATGTTGTCTTTAATCAGTCTACAAAGCTCGGGAGGAATACCTGCTTCTCAATAGTCATTCCTGTCCTTTTGCCTCTTTCATCTAGTGGAGAGCAAATTTCCTCTGACACCTAATGACCCACCAGTTGAAAGAAGTGAAGGCAGCATCACCTATACGTGTGGGAGGTATGCTTTGTAGCATGTTCTGAATGCGCATAAAGGCTCAGAAATCTAAAAAGTTTGGAGGCTGATAATATTCATTTCTTTGTGACTGCAGAGGATGAACACAATTTAACCATAGTATAAAACTGGCAGTGTGCTAGCTTTTCTCCAGAAAAGCCTGAGGACTATGCAAGAGTTATGCGTGCTGAGCTCTCCATCTAGAGGAGGAGCTGCTGGTTTTGGCTATGTCAGGGTAGGCTGTGCCTAAAGTAGGAAGGATACCTCAGTCAGCAGTGCAGACTGAACTCACAGGGATCAGCATTGCTCCTGTTTAAGTGCTGCTATTTGATTATCAAAGATCACTTCTGCTTTCAAGCTAGAGCTCTTCACCTGGCCCTGCTGTCAACTATGTTTCTGCTGTTTCAGCACAACCACCTCTTGCTTTCTAGAAGTCACTCCTGGCACGTAAGGAGAGAAAATATTTGACAAACTAGTTTTGCACAAATCCTGTCACAGTTCTCTATTTTCTTTCTTATCAGCAGATGTCCTAAACTGGCATTTATATGCACGGCAAGCCTCTCCCATGTTGCAGAAGATATGCTCCCAAGAGAACAGTCGTGGGCAGGTGTCAGTGTGACTTCCTTTGCAGAAAAAAAAAAAATCTGTAAAACAAGCAGAAACCAACACCAGAGGCACCAGTGACCATATTCATACTTCTGTAACTGAGACAAAATTCTCAGCTAGTACTACTTTCGACAGTCAAAAATAATTTCATTTCAGAGTACTTTGAGCATTTATTTTCTTGAAAATGGACACCAATTTACGTTATTCATTTGATCTTGATTTTTCAAAGCAGTTGACTAAGATGTACAATAATGATTGCATAGGAAAGAATAAATTTGTAATTGAGTCTAAATACAAATGATTGCTTCTTGTTGAGTAGTGGTAGAAAGGTGCCTCGAAGTAAGCAACCTCTCCTTAAAAATCTAGGTGCATGTCATTATTCATTTAATAAGCACTTTCTACATTCTTTATCAAGGAATCTGATTCAATAGAAAAGACTCACTGCTTTGAAATCTGGAAAGTACAGATGTGTTGTCAGCCTGACCTTGATATCCTGAAACCTAGTTAGCTCCCTTTCTTGTTGCATGCTTACCCTGAAATTTCAGGCTGGTAACTTGCAATGCACTTCATTATGAGGGCAGTTTACAGCAAACTGAATTACATTTTGCAAACAGAATAGCCCATGCTCACTAGTCTAAACAGAACCTCTGCAAGGACAATCTTCATTTACCCCATGGAGGCCTTCCTGCATGAGTGTTGTGGCAATAACTATTTCAAGACCAAAATAATTACCATGGGCTATGCATGTATCATAGAATAGCCTGGGTTGAAAAGGACCACAATGATCATCTAGTTTCAACCCCCCTGCTATGTGCAAGGTCACCAACCACCAGACGAGGCTGCCCAGAGCCACATCCAGCCTGGCCTTGAATGCCTCCAGGGATGGGGCATCCACAACCTCCTTGGACAACCTGTTCCAGTGCCTCACCACCCTCTGGGTGAAAAACTTCCTCCTAATATCTAACCTAAACCTCCCATCTCCCCTGGTTTAAAACCATTCCCCCTTGTCATATTACTATCCACCTTTGTAAATAGCCGTTTCCTCTTATGTTTATATTACTCTATATGCACATATCATACAGTATGCAACTGGTGGTAAGGTTTAGCTCAGCATAGAAGAAGCCTGAATCTCTAGAGAACATACAGTGCAGGTACAAGGCTGGGCCACAGAGACAGGAGGCACAGCTAACCCAACAAGAATCATGGCTGCAGTCGATGTTGCTCTCAGTGACACCATTGCTGGTTTGCTAGGGATCTCTGATCCCATGCTCTAGTGGACCTGTCCCCCAGCTCTGCTTTGCTAATGATTTGGAAAAGATCCAAGATACGAAGCTAAAGAAATGATTGAATGTAATTCCCAACATAATGGAGAGAAACATAAAAGTCTCTGCAGATTCAAAGTTTAAACACCAATATCTTAAATAGAAAAAGATTAGTGAAATCTATTAACATTTTGTGAATGCCCATATCACAGTGTCACTCTTTTCAAAGGAAGCTATGTATTTACTATTAGCAAACACAGATTTTTCCAGTTACTATCTTTTCTATCAGTTCCAGTGCCAAGCAAGTCCTTTGTGTTTATCTTTGTTTTGGAAATAGTGTCTCTGTACAACTTTTTCTTTTAAATTCAGATGTTCCTGAAATTGCTTTTTCTCCCAGAGGGGAACAGTGAAATGAATAAATCTTGGCAAAAGAAAAAAAAAAGTTCTGTTGCAACAAGGCTAAGTTACTGTTATTGCAGAAGCACAAATCATTCTTCTTGTAGGATTCAGCAGACAATAGCTTGTACATCTAAGTTAACCACGAGTCCATAAAAAACATATGTTGCATGGGTCACTAGAGTACTGAAGGGCCAACGAGAACATAAATAGAGTCAAATACAAACATAAGCAATCTTTGTGGATAAGCTATGCAAACAATGAACCCTTTTAGAGCAATGAGGCAGTGAAGTCTGATCCTCTCCAGAGTAGCCGTTAACTGAGGTTATGCTGAATATTTCAAGCTGTAATGGTGTGAGTAGTTAAGGAAATGAACTCATGACAAACCACAGTAGTTCACACCTCGGGCTTAAAATAAGTCCCTGAACTTTACTAAAGTGATCAAAAGCCTCATCACAAACTTTTGAGAGCAAATTTTTCTGTTGACACTCTGAATGGGTACCTGTCTCACACTGTCTATGTAATTTTTTTTTCCCTACTGTAATAAGCTTCAAAATTATTGGAAAAGTTTTTACAGTGATACCTTAAAGGTATCTGGAGATAAAATCATTTATTCAATGATTAGCCAAAGTCAGCTTTAAGTTTTGATGCTGTTGATTAAGAGAAAGGAGTGTGGCAAAAAATCATATAATACAATCAAGGTTCATTCTTGGTCCTGTCTTCTACTGCCACCTACTGAAGTACCCAGCATCTTTCCTGTAGCTACTACGTTTAAATAAATGTACTGCGTCAGAGGATAAAGCAGGATGCTCCAATCAGTAAAAATGCCAAAGAATGCAAAAGAAAAACCAAGACAATACAACTGCAGATTTTGCAGAAGTTTTTGATTGCAACGTACCATCATTCTCTGGATTCTGAGACAAAAAATGAGGACAAATGCAGACCAAAACCACATAGAAATAATTACCTAGCTGAAAAGCAAAAAGGAGATCCTTAATGCAATTCACATGGAAATTGAAACGTGATCATCTCAGACTAAAACCTAACCTCTAGATAGTTTTATGAGTAGATGTTCCCTAAGTCTTGGCTCTCTATAGTCATAACAGCTCTGTCAAAACCTTGCCAGCAGACTACACAGTAAGACTTGTACATTAAGCAGACCACCTGGATGTGAAAAGTGCACAACTACCAAGTAACATCAGAAGAGCTATTAAATAGCTACACTCCTTGGCTTGTAAGCATAGCAGCTCTAAGACAATGACTAAAGCGTTCTATCTTGCCAAACTACGAGCACAGGGACTAGGCAGGTCTGGTAGAATTTCACAGGGGCTGCAAATATGCTGGACAATTACAACACTACTTCACTTGAAGTGCTAGAGACAGAAATATTGTATGGAGCAGAAAGGTTACAAGTCACTTAACCTTACTACACTGTATCACTATAAGCTCTGAAAGCTGGCCACAGTCTTCCTTTTTGTGATTAAGTGTAGTAAGAAAAGTTTCTGCAGCAGTAACTGGCTTACAGCTATCACATAATTAATAGGCACATCACTCTTCAATACTTCTTTGCTCACAGCATTTCATACAAACATTTCCACTCTGCTATGCATAATCCTTACCTTCCAAGCTCCTACTACAGCTCCAATTTCAACAACAATAGGGATACCTTTCACTGAAATATCAAACTTCTGCTGACCTACAGAAGAAAATAAGAGTGCAAGCTTGCTTTCCAATATTTGATTTTGTTATGTTCAAATCATTTACTACAACGCTTGTCGTAACCCTCCCTATTTTCCATGGCTGCTTCTAATCCACAGAATACCACAGATAGTTCTGTGTCCAGCTGCACCAATGTAGTAGAACAGTCAATATTTTCTTCAGTTAGGATTTAAGACTTCCTCTTCTCAGAAAGAGAAGCATGGCACGGAGGAGCTGAGGAGTTGTTTTCTCAGTTTACATTTTTAGGGGCAAAATAGACATTTGTAAAACATTGAATTATTTTGTACTACTGCCTCAGGGGAAAAAAAGCAAACAGGTCCCTCTAACGCTTAAAACACGTGGCTTACTGCAGCTTTTATTAGAATAATTACAAGTAGAAGAAACATGGCACTTCCATTTTTCACAGTGGGATGAACACCTTAGGAACTAATGGGCTGCAAAGCTATAGCAATACAGTGGAAAACCAAATGACATTAAATAAACCAAAACCCAAGCTTGTTCCAACATGACAGCTCCTTCTATGCAGAAACCACAGCTTTCAGGACAGCAAAGCACAACGCAGATGCAGCAACACCATTCTACACTCAGAGAACAGGGAATTCTCACAACAAACATAGTATTGCCTAATGTGTCCTAAGGCAGAGTGAAAGCGAAAGGTGTGGACACAAAGGTGGGTAATTCATTCAGCCAACAGTCCTGCTCAGCACTTTCTCCCCTCTAGCACAGAAGACCATGGCTGTGCAGTCACTGAGCCATCTGAGCCTCCATTGCCTGGGCTGTCCATTCTGGGGCTGTCTGACTTATCTTCTCCAGCAGGTTGTTCACCTGGAAACACAGGGACTGAATCTGCTTATCCCAAGTTGGCAAAGCTTCACGAGCTGCAAAAGGAAACCACAGAAAATGAAGTGTAGTCTTGGCAATTCACCATCATTGTTTAAATGCAAGTTTCACCTCTGGCACTGCTCTCACCTGCCTTGCACCTATCATACTCAATTCTGTCTTCAAAAGTTACAATGATTTTGACTGTCTGTTACAAGCCTGACTCTTGCCTTGTAAAAAAGCAAGCAGAGAAATTCCTGATATCCTACAAGGAGACTGACAGTATAAATTCACATCTTGCTACGGATAAAACAATGCAGAGGAATGTGTGAAAACTGGTACCTCCTCTGATAAACAACAAAGGAGAACTGTCTACAACAGATATGGAGAGGTACTCAATGAGTTCTTTGCCTAAGTCTTAACTGTCAGTCAGGCTTCTCATATTTCTCACAACGCTGAACCTCACATCCCTGAACCTCTTGGTGGGAACTGGAGAGCAAACTCCACTCCACTGTAAGGGCAGAGCAAGCCCAAGACCATCTCATAAGACCAAATGTGTACAAGTCTATGGAGCTCGACAACATACATCCAAGGGTCCTAAGGGAGCTCGCTGATGTGCTTGCTGAGCTGCTCTCTATCATATTTAAAAAGTCATGGCTGTCAGGTGAAGTCTCCAGTTTTCCAGTGACTGGAAAAAAGGAAATGTCACTCCCACTTATAAGGGAGGAAGGAGTCTGGGGAACTACAGGCCAGTAAGCCTCACTTCTGTGCCTGGGAAGATCACGGAACAGATCCTCCTAGAAGACATATTAAGGCACATGAGGGATAAGAAGCCCTGAGTGTGGCAGTGGGATTAGAATTTGATGATCCTTGAGGTCCCTTCCAACTCAAGCCATTCTATGATTCTCTGCTATGGAAAATTCTGCCACCTCCTGGCCAAAGCAGCATACAGCAAAATCATTATGGACAGCAGTAACAAATAATTTGCTTGCATTGCTAGACAGCAAATCGGAAGGACAATTCTGAATAGTGCAAAAGAAATTAAATTAAAAAAAAAAATAAAAATCCCAACTTACTCTCAAAATGAACAATTCCATCAATCTGATCAATGAATCCATTCATGCGCCCCTCAGTTATCATCTGAGAAGCTATCTTTTCTGCCTGAAATAAGGAAGAAAGAATGATATTAGGTATCAGATTCATTCTGAAAGAAATGAAAAACCATTACAGGTTTGACAGTCCTTATATGCTTTTCATCTACATGAGAATATAGGCAGAACTGTACTGAAAATATCTAATCATGCACCTATCAACATACTCAGTGGCATCAAAATATGTTATTGCCCCTTCTATATTGTGTAGCCTTCCTTCTCATAAAATGTGCTAAACATTTAACTTTTGTCACGTGTCCAGTACTGAATATTTAATTTCCTATCAGTAAACTAATTTTCCTAATATTTACTAGAGCTATTCTTGTTACATCCCTGCTGCTTTTTATTAACTTTTTTTTTTAAACAAAAGGTCTTGGAAGCCATTACCTTAGCTGCAGGAATCTCTAGTAATGCTCCAAGC